TCGACCTTTCAACTGTGCGTTAAATATCGCCAAGTGATCTTTCATGCTGCTTACGCAGCGACCAGATTTCTGCTGCATACGTCAGGTCAGGGATAATTGTCGAGTCGAAAAGGTAGATAAGGGGTCGGTTATTCCTTGTCCTCTTCGCTACATCTTTGATGCACTTGAACGCTCTCTAAGCCGCTCGTTTCCTCCTGCTCAACTATAGAGCTAGGTCGTTCATTGTGTTGATTTCACGACCAACATAAACGTGACTGGAGCACTCGGAAATTCTCATCCCGCTAAGCGTGAGAGAAGCACTCGAAACCCTTCCGTTCTTCATGAACATCTTTTTCGTTAGATTTAGTTGAAGACCAATCTTTCCACAGGCGTTGTCCAAATTGGTCAGCATTCGGTCTCCTTTCCTGATGCTTGATGTTGCGAGGACGGTATCATCAGCGAAGCGAAGATTGTTTTATTGTCGACCGTCAATTTTCACTTGTCCCATTCTGATGGCATGTGATGCAGATGAAGTGTTCAAGAATACACCGAACGTGTACCTACTACCAGAGATGTCATATCAGATCACGAAAATGCTTGAAACTTTCCATTAGGCCATAGAGAGCGACGCATTCGTTCTTTACAGTAATCAGCTGGAATTGCTCGTGAGTTCTAAGCATTGAGCTTATGGTGGGTATTATTAGCAGAGAGTTCTCATATAGCAAGTAAATACCATAAATGACAATAGCCACAGATAGCGAAGAATACACTGACGATCACCTGTATCATCTGTCGTATTGCTGATCATCGAGTGACTCGAACGGGTAACAGCAACACTTTCAATTTTCTCTATCTCGTGCATGAGTAGCCCAATGGGTCCTCCCCATCCTAGGGATTCGCTGAGCATCATATTGTTCTTCTATTTCTTTTGTGAAGAAAACGGACCAACGTGTCGGCGGTCTTCCTGTAGAGCACTTGATGTCCCGAGAAATCCACTCGGTAACAGCTCTCGTCCATCAGTTGTCCTTGATGCGCACCATGTTTCCGGCCCCACCTTACTTTCGATAGCCTGAACTGTTGAACGGCGCCTTTGGTCTTCGATTGTTTACCTAGGCCGGAACTTTTTGATTTTATTTCTCGCATTTGCGAGATACGGAATACTTCTAGCATCAATTCTACTTACGTAGCGATCAGATTTCTGCTGCATACATCAGAGCAGCGATAACTGTAGAATCGAAAAGGTGGGCACGGAGACGCATGTTGGCTTGGCTGATGCCTGGTGTTATAACGACGATATCATCAGCAAAGCGAAGATGGTTCAATTGTCGACCGTCAATTTACACTCCCATATCGTCTCAATCTAATGTTTGCATGATGTTTTGAGGGTTGGCAGTGAATAATTTTGGCAAAATTATTTCGCCTTCTCGAGCCATCCTTCTCACGCCAATGGTGCTATTGTTATATAATGGGGATATTTTGGTCGTGAAATCTTTACAAAGCTTACAAGCGATCATTATGTACTGAGTAGGGACGCCCTGGTTATCCAGAACCTCTATAAACGCTTCTGTTTCCACTGAATCAAAATCTTTCTTCAGGTCGACGAAAGTGAGACAGAGTGGTTGTTTGTATTCTCGCGAAACTTCAATGAGTCTTGTAATCGTGTGGATGTGGTCTATGGTACTAAATCCTTTTCGGAACCCTGCTTGTTCGCATGGCTGTCCTTCGTCCAGTGTTCTGTCAATCCTGTTTAAAATGACTCAAGTGAAAAGTTTGTAGGCAACGGAAAGCAAGCAGTTTGTGCGATAACTGCCAATGTCGTGGAAAATTCCATTTTTGAACAACAACACGGTCTGGCTGGTTTTCAATTGAATGCGAACTTTGCATTCTGACAGTTAGCGAGTAAAGAGCCGAGATAGGGTGTTGATGAGAACTGGGGCAGGTTCTTCAGGTGTTCCGGTCTAATCCTCTCTAGACTGGGTGTTGTTCTGTTCTTCACCGACGACATAGCATGCTGGATATCGGAAGGAAGGACCGGTGGAGCAACATATGCATCCCCTTTCAATTTATATGACGGTGAGAGAACATGGCTAGCGAAGAGATTTGAGTAGTACAGGTGGATGATTTTCTCCATTGCCCTTCTGAAAGCTGTACGTGTACCGTCAGGGCATCGAAGTGCGATCATCCTGGTTTTATAATTGACGAAGCCTCGCTGGGCTTTGCGAATGCTCTTCCCAGCTTCTGCGGCTTCTATCATAACTGATGCTCGTATCTTTTTGAGGTCTTCTTTTATCGCTTCTCTGCTGCGTTTCGCAAGTCCCGGCATGAAAGTTCGGTTGCCTATAGCTCGTGCAATTCCACGTTGACGTATCAACTCGAGTCTGTGCGGAGACAAGCGTCTTCTTATGACTTCAAGACTCTCGGCTTTCACAGCGCTATCGTGAACATATTCAACGAGACCATTATTTTTCGGCGATGTTGCTGGCAACGGTATCTTCCCAGAAACCGACTATAATTTTAATACATCCCCCCAGTTTATGGCAGTTCTGGGACTTCGTTGTATGGATTTAGCGGCTTTCTCTCTTTTTCGCAAAGAACGGAACGTTGAGCGAAGGAGGCGGTGGTTTGATCCCGTGTTAAACTTAGGGGCAACAGCGACATTGGTCAGGCAAAATCCTCGATATACTAAGATGTGATCTATTTCGTTATTGGTACTCTTCACTAAAAGACTCTCACGTCCATCTCTGAGAGTGAGGCTTTTGGAATTGTGAGTTACTATTGGATGGTTTGGGTCGCTATGATAAACTAAGATACCCTATTAACCTGTTCATTTCATTCTTGTCCGTGGGTCCCAATGTGACGTTCTTCAGATATTCTTATAGGTCCAATTTTCACTTCGAAATCGCCGACAATGACCTTGAAGAATGTATGATCTACTCTAAAAAATTGTTCGAGAACGTTTCGACATCGTCTTCGTCATAGCTTGATGTTGGTGCGTAAGCAACGAAGATGGTCAAAACCGGCATTGAACCACATCGTTTCAACCGTAATCGTTCAATACAGTTTGTTAGATGTTCAAATGAATTAATCTTCACAGTCAAATCCGATTTGACGAGAACTCCAACGCCGCCAACACCTCTGCTATCGTATGTTCCAAAGAACAGTTCTTCACCGGTATCATAAACAGCGTGAAAAGGATGGCGTCTTCTCGTCTCAGCAAGACCAATAACGTCGTGCATTATCCTTCTTGCATGAATCAATAGATCTTCTACAGCGGATTCGTGAGCAAGGAAACTTGCATTGTAGGTATAGATAGTCATTTTAATCCGTTTCGATCTTAGCACCCTAGTTTGGCTCTGAGATTTTAGCAGCCTCTCCGTACTCGCCGACGGGGCGCTATCGAAACAGGGCTTCTTTCGGGTCCAAGGAAATGATGCCCATATTGGTTACTGTTTTTTGATACGCAACGTATAGCTTGCTAGGCTCTGAACGTGGGGGCTGGATGCGCACGAGTATCTTGTCAGTCTCTCTCGAAGGAACAGGAGGAGCTTACTTGTTGGAGGCGACTCCTGACAGCCTTCCATGTACTTTCCAGCCGCTTGATTGCAGGCTGTTGGCCGACTTGACTTGCAGAAATGGAGTTTTGTCAGATCGGCGCTGCAGAAGTAAAGAGCTCCTGCTCTCAATCCATGCAAGTCTCCGGGATGCACACGGTCGTATTTGGTTCGCGCTTAATCCCCTATCTACCATCTGGAGACGCGCCACGTGCCCTCGCGACCAACCGGCGGGATCCCTCAAAGAGGGAGATCATTGGAGTTCATAAATAGTCAGAAAAAATTGTCATTGAGCACAGGCGTCCTATCACTAGTGACGATTACTAACTGAGTAATTTTGAGGGAGCAAACACATGCACTATTGCTCAAAAATCTTTAGAATAATTTGATGTGAGCAGTTGTATCCCAGTGAATCCAAAGAAAGATGAAAAGTTGAAAAGCTCAGCAAGTGAAAGTCACACGATTTGGATAATAACCGAAAAATTCTCATATTGAGGTATCGGCGGCAATTCTGCGCATTCAGAGAGACTCACTTCTCAGCCATGTTGCGAAGACGTCAAGAAATGGACCATCTACAAGTAACTGCGACGATTACTTCAACGGTATGACCGGAAAGAAGCTCCGTCGCACCTGTAAATCGACCATATTGTGAACAGGTAAATTTCCCGTCTGATTCTTCACTCTCTATTCTTCTGTCTGATCTAACTCATCCAATTTCGGGAATTTGACTAAAAGGATTGTGCCAACAAAGCATGTCCTGTAAAAAGACTGAATGAAAAAGTTGTTAGCTTGATATTGGCCGTTGGAATCTTTCGCTCAGTCATAACCACTTCTTCGTGCATATTGACAACTTTGTGTACCATATCTCCTTCAGCAGTTATTCTGAGAGGAAAGCTGCGTTTAACGACTTCGCCGTCGTTCTTGTCGTTTTTGTGTGATTGGTAAGATTTTATCCACTATTATCCGTCGTGTCAACGTTGCGAGACAATAGAAAAATGATGTCGTTGTGCGAAATTTCTTCATCACGGAATGGTTGATGGTTGCTACATTTCTTACCGCTTTTTCCGCAGTAGCGAGCTGGTGTTCAGTTTCAAGGCAATAGTCGATTGTTTCAGTAACATGTTATAAGTAGCATCACCGAGCAATCGCCATTGCAACCAGAAAATTTATCAATTTGAAAGATGTGTTGCCGAATCTATTTATACTTATACTCATCTCTGGTATCAAAATGAAATAGGTGAGGTGCTCTTCCTCTAATAGAAAATTTGTAATGAAGCACGCATATTGTAGAACACAAATGAATGACAAAATAATGATTCTAACAGATGTATTTCATTGAACGGTACGACATCAGATGGTTCGACTCGTTGTGACAACGATCCTTCAAATTCTAGTAATTTTACTTCTCTTTTTCACAGTGTTATGATGTTACATGTTTACTCAAGCGAACTGAGTGATGAACAGAATTATAGGCTTACATGGGAATCGAACCCGCGTTTCATCCATACCGAGAACGCGCGTTACCACCATACCACCAAGGCACATTTACGCCACCATTTATTGTTCAACATCTCTACATAAGCTATCAAACACCAGCTTTCAATAGGTTTGGTAGGGTATGCGATTTCGCTTTGTAAACCCAGTATTTTTGCTCATCACTCACCTCTCTTAGGGACACATGTAACATCGGAACACTGCGAAAAAACAAGTAGGAATACCAGAATTTTGGAGCTTTGCATCTAACAGTGGCTGTCAGCTCAATCGGCAAACATTTTGAAGCCCTCGCCAGTGGGACTGATACGAGTCGATTGTCCATAGATGCTCATACTGGTGATTTGAAGGCTCGTTGTATACCTAAGATAACTGAGTGGTGAGCATTATAATGATATCGTCTTGGCTTGATTGTTCACATTCTCTCGATGATTGCGGATGAATTACTGTTGGTTTTGCAGAATATAGAGTGTATATTGAGCGACTGCCTTTCTGCGCGCAATGAATATACAGTAGAGGAATAAAATTTCCATCGCGTTATAGATATGATCGTTACAAAGCCATATCTTATGACTCATGCAAAATTTCACATGATATAACAAAACTAATTGTTGTTTACCTGATAAAAATTGTGAGAAGTATTCTAAAATTAATTTTTGGGCAGCCATGACATTTACCTTCGTAACATAGTTGATGCTTGTATATATGATTTAACACCTGTACTAGTGAGGCTCTTTTCTGCTATGGCGAGAAATGAATATTCGATCCTATTTGCTAGACAAGGATTTTTCATAGGAGTGTTAGTAATTATTTGTGGCATAATTTCCTGGTTGAGGCAGTATGTAGCCAAATTCTCAAAACACCCTTTTATACGCTATAAAATACAAACCAAGGTTATGTTTCACACCAGCCGCACCTTTCATTTTATCACGCATATAATTACACTGAAAGCTCAAAAAGCATATGAACGTGTATAGCAATTTTCGCAGTATTTGAATCATTCGTTCAATCCGGAGTTCCTTTCAAAGCGGAGAAAGAATTCCCGACTGAACAACAAATTTTATGCGACATATCTAGCTTATGTTGTCAATTAATCGCTCCGCCCTCAACGCGCAGGCTATAGCTGGTTAACACGCTCGCCGATTATGTGATACTCCACCTTATTTTCCCTCTTACACGGCGCTAAAACGATCTTTCTTAATTAAGCTCACTTTTGGAATTGCTGAAACTTACGTTATCGTATGATCACTAATAATGTATAAAAGAGCTCTATCAGGCGACGTTCAAGGTACAAATGTTTTCTTCCTCTTATAGCGCCATCGAAAGAGCTTCTTCAAAAACAAATACATTTTTGAGTTCTTCGAGATTCGTGTTACCGAAAGAGTAGTAGCAGTCTAAGGAAGGAGTTTTGTTCAGCGAAATGTAAGCGATATCAGAAAAAAAAACGCGTTGTCGTGCAAGACATAATTTTATTTGGGATTTTACAGCGTTATAAGATAATGTTCTGGAAAAAACGATCACGTACGGCTCTGACCAGAGATTTGAGTTTTTGAATATTTGCAAACACTCCTACGAATACTTCGTCCAGCGAATGAGGCCGAATATTCATTCATTTCCGTTTAACGAGAACGTGCTTTGGTGCAAAAGTCATCATCTTCAAAGTCCTATAAATACCATCACATACAATGTTTTGTGCATAAAAATATTAAAAAGTAGCATTTCAAACGTATTTTCAAATGATAAAGTATTTACATACATTTATTTCTAATTATTACATTAAAAGACAAAGTGGTTTAATCATAATTGGAAGCCTAATAATATGAACTGATGAAGTGATAGAATCGTGCATAGCGCAGACGTCATAAGTGCACAGCAGTGGACAGCAATGCACATTAATTGGGTCGGCGGTTCGAAACAATCACTGTCGTGGAATACTTTGTATCACATTTTCGGTTCGCAGTTTTCACAGTTTTTGTATAGTCTCCAAGTGTGGTGCCATTTAATCGTCCTTTTCTCAAAAACTGGTAAGTGTCCTCCGAAGCATGGAAGTTACAAATATGAGGGAAAATTACATATGTGAAGGGTTATATAAAGCTTCGTTACATGTCTAGTCTCGGACTGGTCAACAGCTTCTGCGCTTTCATATAAAAGATAAAGCTTTCGAATTGATAATCCCTGAGAGGTTCATCATGCATTCGTCTTCAATTTTTGACTTAGTTTGATGTGATTGAATGCGTACCTAGCCTTTACAATGACTCATGGTGGCCTAACGCTGTGTCGAATCGGTGCTCCTTATCCTCATAGACAAGTTTGGGAGCAGTTTTGTGAGTATTTACAGACCCGCAGATATGGATTACTTGGTGAGTTATAAGCGCGATATCGAGCCATCGATCTTATGTGCGGCGTAGAAAACCTCTAAGCACTGCGCCACATACGCTTCTGTATCCCCACCTACGACGATTTATTCGGACCAAACGATGTAAAAAGTCAATGCTGCTGCCTAGTAATTCAATGTGGTTGTTACGTCACTGTTGCAATCCTATCAAATATGTCTCGTATCACTTCGCTAAACCCGACGTAATGGAGAATTTGACAAGACTATGGAAGGCGACCCAACAAACAAGCATGTGTGTATTGCAGCACACCACTAACTACTGCCTTTGGCGCTCTCAATACTCAATCTAAGCATAAACCTAAAATAATCCAAACACTGACTTATGCTGCAGAAAGCCATGGAATGGCACCAGCACAAGCAGAAATTCTTAGCATTAATGTTAGTATAACTGGTCTTTCCGTAGAAATCATGTTTGTTGCACATTTGTGCTCTTTCTCCTAAAGAATGTGTGTAATAGAAGCTAGATATAGTATACGGCAACACTGTCATTATGTATTGTATTGTACAAATCAAATCGGAATATAAGAAGGAAGAAAATTGAAGCATGAAGACATAACTGTTATTTAGGATATCGATCCAGAGGCGACATTTATACGCATTTATGTGGTCAGGTGAATAACGGATCCAAATTTGGTGCAGTCGAATGGCACACCGTCTCACAGGATTTACGGGCGAATCTTGAAAAATTTCAGTGCTGAATTCTACAAATAAGTACAGTGAATCTGAGCAGTCTTGTTGTCACCATTATCATATCAACAAAATTTCACACCATGTAAAGGAACGTTCCAACTCGAAGGTATCCGTAATTGAAAGTCAGAGAATAACAATCACGCAGAGATGGCATAAGCGAAATGTGGAAGAAATTTCTGAACAGCAATGTAACATTATTAACAAATACATACGGTCTTTGGGATCAGTATGTATAATTTGGTTTTTTGCTGCATTTTCTTTGGTTTTTTTCTGGAGAAAATCTTCAACTATTCGAATTACGGCACCGACCACATCTTATTTCCAATCTTTTTCATATGAGAATGTTATTACGATACCAAAATAAAGTAATGAAATTGCAGTGGAAATTTGCATACTTTCCTGTACGACCCACTTCACATTTTACTGCGCGTATCCAAATAGTGAGGAGTTCGATTTGTCTTTTGGCATTCGTCACTTTCTTGAGGAACTCCTCTTCTTCATGAGCATCGGAGGTACAGCGACGTTCGTTGATTGATTGTCGGAGAGTGGTGATGGTGAACTTCTTACCCAACAGTCTTAACCACTCGCCAAGCGCACGTTTTCTCCTTCTCCAAATTTGCGCATTAGTAGGTAAAACAATTGTTTCTCTTGATTCTGAGACATTTGATCCATCAATTGACAAACTTGTGCGATTAGCTTGGAACATGTTTCAGCTAATATGCACTGCACAAGCTTCCCATGGAATTTTCTAAATCAGCATGAGCTCTTCATGATCAGTTTACTCCAGCCTGTTTCATGTACCTATTCTACCTCTTTAACTTGATATGGCACAATGGTTCATTTGAGCCGATTAATCTCTTACAAGTAAATATCGCGCTTACTTGAACATCTCTCCATCGCCTTTCAAAATATAGAGTAGTGTGAGATTCTGGATAACAACACTTTAATTAACTTCATTCCGATTTTTCGTCATCAGTTCCATTGGGATGGTATTGAAGACATACCATTACCATTACTTTCCTGCGTTACAAAAGCAGCAAGCTGGTGTTCGTATTCAGGACGGTATTTGATTGTTTCAATGGTATCGACAACCGTGCGCAACACCACAACGATCGGCAGGCTTTTCAATTACAAAGATACATTGTCAGATCTTCTTACGATCTTTTACGGATCCCCGGCATCGTAATAAAGGAACTGCATAAGTGCTTCTCTTTAGAGGTATCGGAATGCATCACGGATTTTATAGAACAGGAATGAATGATTTCTAAAAACTTTATTATCAATGAGGATGTTTCACAAGCTGTACGACTTTAGATGATTCGACTACTTGTGACATCAAACATCATCACATTGCGTGACTTCTTTTGGTCGGTCGATTCGCATGGGTGCCGCTCTGAACAGGGCGAAGGCTCCGAATTTTTTGAGGATTGGTGATGTCGTCTTGGCTCGATTATCTTACCACGTATCGATGATTGATGTTTATTGACAGTAAGTTTTGTAAAATATGAAATGCACGCTGCACGACTGTCTGATTATGATACATGCTGTGAAGAATTTTGAGTCGCAAAATTTTCTGCTGTGTTCATACATGTGATTAATGCTCGTTACAAAACCACAACTTCCGCATTCTTAAGGATTTGGAAATTAAAACTAATTTAGTCAATGTATACCAATGTATACCAATGGAATAATGCCGAACGTTGATCGAAGAATATCGCCCATTAACGTGAAGAATTTTGAACTAATAAATTGACAAAAGTGTACGTAGCGAAGTGGTTAGAGGTGCACGACAATGCACATTTATTCGCTCGGTAGATTGAACTTGCTTCAAAGGTACACGCATTATAACACAACGTTGAAATTTGACGAAAACCATGATTCTTCCAAAATTTGGAAAGCTTTGATAGTCAACTTTCTCTATATTTTGTAAAATGGCTCTGGTGTAGAACGCATTCAATGAATTTA